CTTCCTTGCTTCCAGCTGTGTCGTGCTTCCTGTGGGTGGCACCATGTTGCCGCACGTGAGAAAACGTTAAGCCTCTCATGATTGCGCACTACAACTTGAAAGACTGCTGTGCAAATAGCGGCAGCAGTGTATGAACAAGCCCCAATTCCCGATCGTTGACACTGGAAACAGGGGGGCACACGCTGGTTGAATGTCATGTTCGCTTGGCAGCCTGCTGAACAATGCATACATTTGTGAACACTGTCAACAAAGGATGACGACCTTCAGTCGGGAGGGAAGGGATCGAGATTGTTTGATGTATTGCTTTCCCTCGAAAGAGTTCCGGCTCTGTATTGGGCACTACATAAAACGGTCTACACTTAGTCTAACATCCAAGATACCAGAGTCGCGGAAATACAGGTCGCTTCGCTGACCCGCTGACGATAATGGATCATGCTACAGTGATCGTAGACTCTTTGCTATCGATAGAGATGGATTGAGAAAAGTAATTCGAGACCCAAAACCGGCCTACATGTGCATATGCATATCTCATATCTGCCCTGTGTTTTTCTTCCTGTCGCGGGTCTTTCGTCTGAAGGAGCGATCGTGCGACGAATACGATACCCCTGCGATTGCTGTCCGGACCACATTTTTGCAAGCATACCCTAGAGCGAATGATGGCGAGGCTTCGACGGGCGCTGCCGAAGCAGCTGGGAGCGACGGCGGTGCTGCTGTGCACTCTCCTGGCCCAATCCGAAGGTTTCTTCGCAGCCCCTAACACACCAACCACCCACAGCAAGCTCGCGTCCGACTCGAACGGGCGCACCAATGGCCACGGCCAGTTTGTCGCTCGTAGCGACAGCGGGAGCGGTGGATCTTCTGCTGCACTCGGCGCAGCAGGGTCGCGCGAGCGACTGTTCGAAACGGTTACGACCCTGCGTGGTGGGAGCCCCGCGATGAAAATCCCTGGGTATGATGCCGCTGCCGCCGCGATTGCAGCGATTTCTATCCCCGCCATCGCATGGACGGGGGGGCCGGCTCTCTTCGCCCAGGTACGCATGTGGTGGTGCTAGGCGGATCTTCCCCTTTGTGTTTCATGCCGGGAGTGTATGAGTGCCTGGGAATCCCCACCTTCTGCTATCAACACACTACTATGACGTGTTTGTCCAAAGTGAAACCAGGGAACACTGCTATGTGCATCTCTCACGTTTTTGAGATACCACGCCACGAGTGATCTTGCGGGTAATATCCTCAATGCTTCATCCTGGACTACTGTAGTCTTCGAGTGGTTGCACCTGATACCCAACTCTGAGGGGTTGAGCATTATGCAACGTGGATTGGCTGGCCATGGCCCAAATGGGTGTATTTCGTGTAGCCTACGTACTAACCTACACGGAACCTTGGACATGCTATCGAAAGGTAAGTGTCTCGTAACGGAGCATTTGGCGATCGCGCAATAAATTGCAATCACAGCCATTTCATTTTCTGTGATCCGCCCTCTCTGCCCATGCTTGTACTGCAGTACATGATGGCATGCTCTTGTGGTGAACCTTAGGTCGCAACAACGCCATTGTCACCAATGAATGAATGGCCCCAGATTGCCGTGGTTCTCATGGTGGCTGCGTGCTGCACCTGCACGCTGCAATTGTGCGCACGTACTGCGCCGGTTCAACAGCACGTGGCTATCCCACCGCAGCCAGCGCTTCAGTGACGGCTACGCCTCGCCACAGTTTTGCACATTCCCGCCCAACTCTCCTCCTTCCCCACGACGACCTCGCTCCTGCGTGCCTCCTTGTGCCTTCTTCGGCAGGGCGTCCTGCTGTCCATGGTAACATCGATCGACGGATTCCGTATCCGGGAGCACTTCGTCAGTTACGGTTACGGCTTCTCCGTTGCCCTCCAGGTGTGTCTCGAAGTTGGCCCTTGTTGCTTTCGGCGCTTGGAGCGTTGCTATTATAGTCCTGTCGGAAGGTAGCGAGGTCGGTCTCAGGTCATTCCTGGCCTCGTCCGGCAAGCCACTACTGCAACGGTTGGGTGGTTCCTGCAGAAGGCCGACTACTGTTAGGGGTGCCAATCGGTCAAATTTCCTATAGGAAAAAATTTCGAAAAGTGTCCTGGATCTTCCAGATGGAAAATCGCTCGAGCCAAAAAAATCACATCGAACGTTCCGAAGAACCCCGCCAGAACCAAAAAACACCTGACGCCCCGCGAGCGCGAAGCGTGTGTGAACGCGTTCCGCCGTGCCGTGGAGGTTGCACACGGCACCCTAGCGGCACCCTAGCGCCGTCCGCAACCTAGCAAACATGCCTGGTGGCTCACTCGAACAGCCGCCGGGCGGTGGGACCGCGCGGACTCCTCCTGCTGGAGGAAGCAGTGCTCCTCCTGCTGCTGGCGAAAAAAACAGCAGCAGCGAGGAAGCACCCATCATCTACGCCCACCGCCTCCGCCTTCGCCTTGTCTCGTTCAGCCTCTTGCTTCCTCCGCTCTGCCTCTTGCTGCGACCGCTCTGCCTCTGCTCTCTTAGCCTTCTCCTCCTTTAGCGCCTCGGTGCTCTCGCGCGCGAGCTCCTGAGCCATGCTGCACTCAGCGGTGCTTGCCGCCTCGCGCTGTTTACTTTCGACCAACTCATGCTCCTTTTCTGTCAGCGCTTTCTGTGCGGCGGCAACACCGCCCCTTTCGACCGCNGGCCCTTGTTGCTTTCGGCGCTTGGAGCGTTGCTATTATAGTCCTGTCGGAAGGTAGCGAGGTCGGTCTCAGGTCATTCCTGGCCTCGTCCGGCAAGCCACTACTGCAACGGTTGGGTGGTTCCTGCAGAAGGCCGACTACTGTTGTGCTGAGAAATTTAGCCCGCCATAGATCGGGCACCCGGAACTGCTCAAAGTATGAGAAAGCAGTTCTACTGTTTCCTTTGTGTCATGCGATTCCAACGGCCTTTCTCAAAGCGACCCGCCTATTTTTGTGCGGCCTTGTACGGGGACCAGCATCTCGTCGCCACCGCTGTCGCATAGCGGCAGTCCGACCAGGAACATTTTCTCCTCAAGAGATACTGCTGTAGACATCGCCCCTTTGGATGACCCCCCCGGCCGCGTTGTGAGCGCAACAGACAGCTCTCGCGTGTTCTCGGGCGAATCACTGAACTTTCATCGCCTCATGCTACCGCTGTTTCATTTTCCTTTTCCCTAACTTGTTTTCCAATTTTCTGGTTCTTTTTTCTCTCAGGCCGCTGGCGCGGCTTGGCTCTTCCGCGACAAGTTGCACACGCTCTCCGCGTTGCACGCTGCTGGGCTGGTGGCCTACGGACTGAGACTGGCCTCGTTTTGCGGCTGGAGGGACACTCTCTCGTGCTTCCAGAACCGCAGAAAGTGAGCAGCAGCATCTCCGAAAAAAGGACAAACATTGGTACAAAACGGCAGGATCTCCGAAAAGAGAGGACATTGGTCGTGCCTTTGTTTGTGTGTGAAGCTTCACCTGACCGCCATCTGTCTAGGTGACGTAATATTTGCCCCGAGGGAATAGTGAGCAGAGAGAAACAACACCGAGAGAACAGTGAGCAGAGAGAAACAGCACCGGCGTGCGGTCTTCACCAGCACAGGTCCTCTCTGGTAGTTTCAAAACCACCGCTGGACACCAGAACTCGAGCATATATTTTTTGGTTTTGAGTGTCGCCTCCTTTACAAGGGACGCCTTAGCGAGGAATTTAGTGTACTGAGAAAACAGAAGAGGGAGGGGGTACGCAGTCCTAACCCCAGCCCTAACCTAACTTCCCCGGTTTCAGCCTTCATCCAACATGCTTACTTCATTAAACAACCCTGCGAATGTCAGTGGACGTTGAGCTCCAAATCTCCCAGTCGCGTCTCCCCTTTTGTGTCGATCTGCGGGCTAGACGACCCTTTCCGTCGACCACTCTCGAGTTGAAAGCAATGGAGCCCAGAGTGGCACGAAAAGGTTGCATCGCATGCGAGGAGAGCGGGAACGGTGTAGGAGAATTCTCGATATGTTTGAGAGATTGACCCGTGGAACTTATAGCCCTTTGTTTCGGTTCGTGCTCAGTGGTGAAGGGCAGGGCTACATCCACGCACACACTTCCGGGTTGCCAAGTGGTTCGTGTGAGGGCGTGGGGGTATGTTGCTATTTCGGTGTGTTTGTGCATCTTGGATTGGAACCGTGATCAAACCAAGATATATATCTATTTTTACTCCAATAAATGTAATCACGTTTGAAACAGGTGGTCGGTGCTCTAGTTTTGCTTTTCGAAGCAGGCTGCTGTACCGTTGGCTAACTTGTCTATGCTCTGTTTGTGCTGTCGTACTATTTGTCGTGCTTCTTGTCGTAGGCGGCCAACCCAGCCCAAAAAGCAGAACGCCGGTCCCCCGTACACTTTCTGGGGCATTTGCTCCATGCTGTACGCGTTTCTTGCCCTGCCGACCGTTTACGCTCTTCGCCGCCTTCCTGCCGCTGAGGTGAGAGAGAGGAATAGATAAAAGAGAAATAGGGAGGGAGGGAGGGGAGAGAGGTAGAGGGAGAGGAAGGGTGACGACAGCAACTGTCGCGTTCCATGCATGCCTCATAGCTGCTACACATAAAAATCGAGAATTCCTCTTGGATTGCCCGCGATGGCAGTGTGAGGGATCTGTGGTTGAACGTAAAGCGGTCTGTTTGGCTGAGAAAATATTTATATCTGGTATGGAGTTACACTTGATTTTTTCAGGTTGCGAGCTGTGTTAATGACTCCACAACATGAGGGGAGGGATTGATCGATTCATTGGCGCTTCCACCTTGCCGGCTGCCCTGTGCTCTTCTTCGTTTTGCCAGGGCTCATACGTCGGCGTTAGCCAAGCGGGGTTGGCTGTCATGGCCGTCGGACTGCTGGTGGAGTCGGTGGCTGACCTGCAGAAGTCGCTGTTCAAGAAGAAATCCCCGGATACCTTTTGCAGCACGTGAGTACAACAACGAAGGCGATGCTCTAAAAGCGTATGGTAAGAGTGGTAGCCTGCAATCTCGTGTACGCGTGTGCAGATCTTCGGTCCGAGGNGCGATGCTCTAAAAGCGTATGGTAAAAGTGGTAGCCTGCAATCTCGTGTACGCGTGTGCAGATCTTCGGTCCGAGGATAGACGACAGTTCCAGGCTCAGCTAGCCTTGCCGTCGTCTAGCGTCCAGAGAAGGACCTGTTAAATGATGCAAGTCCTGTTCCAGGGAGCGTGGGTGTTGACAAAGCGGTGTGGACGTCGGGTTGCCAACGATCATTATCATGGGGTGAAACGCGAAGAGCGATCGGAATACTTGTAGCCTAGGGATATCGCTCCCGTACAGCAATACGGTAGGTGCCGTATTCACACTCCGTAAGCCGATGCCCGCTTTCACGCACTTACTCTGTCGTGTTCTCACCAGTCACATATTGCCATACATTGTTCAATTGTACTGCGTAGTAGTAGCCATCTTCTCGCCTGAATTTCTGCGGAACAACAAAGGTCGACACCGAAAAAACTTCACAACACATCAGAGCCCCCCGGCGTTCTAAAGCCTTTCGTGAACATCTCTTCTATTTTCTCGCTTATTGCGCGATCCGGTTGGCTCTCCTTGCTTTTGGCCTTGTTCAGCGGCCTCTACCGCTTTTCACGCCACCCCAACTACCTCGGGGAGGCTGTTTTCTGGACCGGGGCCTGGCTGGCGGCGATCCCTGCGTATACAAAGTGGTGAGTGGTGAGGACATGGATCGCTCTCGAAACGAGACTCCAGGCAGCATTGGCTACGGTCTGTCGCACGGCTTGATCGCTCTCGAAACGAGACTCAAAACAGCATCGGCTACGGTCTGTCGCTCCGAACAAGGCAGCTTTCGGGATACTGCAGCAGGGACTGTCTTGTCACAATCCTGATTTGGCACACGGAAAACGTGCGTCTGCGCCATCTAGATTTTTGTGGCGACCNCAAACAGTATCGGCTACGGTCTGTCGCTCCGAACAAGGCGGCTTTCGGGATACTGCAGCAGGGACTGTCTTGTCACAATCCTGATTGGCACACGGAAAACGTGCGTCTGCGCCATCTAGATTTTTGTGGCGACCGGATGGACTAAGAGCGGCCGCTCGGTAAATCGTGCCATGGACCCGTCACGACGGAGTTCGCGGTTATCTTGTCTTTGTCTTGACATGAATGACCGAAGCTAGTTTCTTGCAGCTGTGCCAATACCTAATTGACCCCAACTAACCCGCACATAACGTCAATTGGACTTCATTGACTTTTTCGCATTTTCTGAGAAACGACTTTATGTGCACCTTCTGTTTCTAATGAGTACACCGCCTCCCCTCTGCTTCCAAGCGTGGACCAATCTGCAGAACGGTCTCAATGAATAGATATGTCCGTCTCTTGCGTCTCTCTCGCTTTCCCGTCTAGGTACCACTGGGTATTCTCCGTGATCGGCCCCTCCCAGATCGTCTCCATCATCCTCCGGGCGACGGGGGGGCTGGAGAAGAGACAGGTGGAGAAATACGGGTCCTCGAAGGAGTGGAAGGAGTACGCCAAGTCCACCCCCGTCTTTGTGCCCGGGACTCGGCAGTACTCCTGGGAAAAAGCTGAAACGAAGAACTAAATAGCAGTTATTGTTCATGTCGACGGGGATATCCTGACATCACTCCCGGATGACTTCGCGTCCCTGAAAAGCAGGTCTCGTTAAGATACCTTCGGTGCTCTTTAACGTTCGAGAAGAAAATGAACTTGCGGAACCTCACGTAAGGGGGTAGGGTTCAGCAACGTGCGCTCGTAGTCGTTTGACACGAACGAGTGGAGTCATGTATTGAAAGCAATGCCCGCCACATAAGGGACTGTTGTACACTGCAGTGCGTGCCGTAGGCAGGCGTGGTTGTGATTTTTCCACCCCTACCTGGTGGGTCGTGCCTCTGGGGCACAGAGCCAGGACTGTTTCGATGCTTCGAGTTTTCATCTGTGGTGCAATCAGGGTCCTATCGTTTTCTAGTGGCTATTACAAGTTTGTGTTTAGAAGGCCCCAGAACCCATTTTCACGACACAGCCACCAAGGTTTTCCAATGTGGCGGCAGGCGTGCTTGTGTGCTTGTGGGCGGGCGTTGCTTTCTGTCTACTTCGTCTAAGGATTGTCTTCGTTCCCACGGCAGAGCTATCTGTTGTTCTGTGCAAGGCGGTTCCCGTTGCGTCTCTCAAGGGGGTTGTCGGCTTGCGAATCGTCACGCGGGATCGTTGTTATCGTGCTCTGGAAAATAGACGCGTTCGCAATGCTTGTATTAGTCTAGTAGTCCGCTTCACGGCGGTGTGTATGCGCGCGATGAGCGGGATTCCAGTCCCTGCTCAAAGGCGGTGGGAACGGCACGCTTTCGATCAAACACGCACGGGCATCTGGATTGGGGCTGCGGATGTAAAAAAGACCGAAGAGAACATTTTTAGCTTTTTGTCTGTCGAAAGAAGGCAACTTGTTTTTAGTTAGGTAGAGACCATGGTTCGATACCCCAAACGACACAAGAAAAAAAAAAACGGGTCATATCCAACATGCTGTCTTCAAAAACAATTCCAGACCGGATATATTCAATATTGTGTGGGGTGTGTGCTAGGCCGCGCCTTCTTGCTTGATCTGAGAGTAGTTTTAGGACTTTTGGGCTCATGTTGACTGGTAGAAATATGACCCCCCAGGTGTGGCATTTTGTGTCGTATTTTGTGTGTGGAGGGCGTTATCTTGTTTCGTATTTTTCCGTAGCGAAGTGAGTTGACGACGAAAAGAGACTACGCTTACATGCATTCAATTTGTGTAGACTATATACGATAAAGTATGTCATGTTCGATGGTGCTATTTTTTGTAAATTGGCATGCTGCAGCTGCCAGCCGAAGCTGCCCCGCCACGACCGACCGCGGAGTCTCAAAATTCCACCAAATTCGTCGGTCGTCATGGTGTATCTTGACGACCCACCAATTGCAGAAGAGAGCAAACACCTTCCTTACTAGATCTGTTTGTCGCGTGCTTACTCTCATCACAGCATTTGGCGTGTGTTCTGCATCATCACCGTACGGAGGGACCCTTATCGATCTCTCCTAAAGAGTGCTTCAATCTCCGCCACCGTCAATCGTCCACTTTCAAAATTCATGACTTCTCCATCTCTTTCGGGTACACCCACCTCGTGGCGTCTAACTCAGCCGGCTCTTCGTGAGAAGTACACATTTAAAGGCCTGCCCTCCAATGTCTTCTGTCTGTGTTGTCCTTCTCCACCCCGTGGTCATTACACACAAGCTGTCACAATAAATTAATCATCGCCATCCGAGACGGTTTCAAAGCAGTTGGTCGAGGAACTGCACGTGCTACTCTTACACCTACTTGTGGAGCCCGATACCTTGCAGATTGAGGTAGTATGTTGAAAGTGGCTGACAGAGCTCGTGAGACGGGGAAAGACTCCTGAGACCCCTGTGGACTGCCCTCGGCGTCACTGGTTTGAGACGTAGCAAAAGTGCGGCGGTTGAACCATGTGGAGGTTCCGTAGCTCAGTGGCAGAGCGTGCGACTGTTAATCGCGAGGTCGAGGGTTCGATGCCCTCCGGAACCGCGCGCTGTGCACACTCTTTCGTTTTGCCGGTCGCCCCGGTGGTTTGTTAAAGGTCATCAAGCAAGCAACATCGTCGGGGGATGTTGGTTCGAATTTTCTCTTTGCCCACAATTGGTGGGAAGCAATCAAATGCGACACTTGAGAATTCGATTTCACGATCGACGACGGAAAGACAAGACAGGCAGTTGGAACAACCCTCCCTATCGCGAAAAAAAATACCAGGTAGAAGAAAGCACCGCAAAAGGAAGACGGGACACAACAAACAAAAGGAAGCGCCTGCGTGACCTTCCTCCGGTGCGGAGAGGTCCCGTCGACATGTCGTAAACTCTACTGGCAAAGTCACAGGCATGGCAGTGACAAAAAAAATGTAAAAGGCGGGGACAAATGCAGATGTACCTCAGAAACATCGTAGATACGTACATCGTAGAGCAGTCAGTCTACTATTTTGGCCTCGAGGTCGGCACCTACCTGACCAGCGCTAACAACGCCATCATCGTAGACAGACTACAGCTGTGGTTCTCGGAAAATATCTGTTGTTAACAGAAGAAACCAGTGCGGTGGCGCCGCCATCCTCCGATACCGATACACTGGCTGGCTCCATCGTCCAGCAGGATCTTCTTTGCGCCCGAGTTCGTGTCTGTCTCTAGACTAGCCAATATGTATCATCAATGCGTGTGTGCATGATGGACCAAGAAAGAAAGAAGAGCTCGCAGCCTTGTCGGGGTCTGCTCGATTGAATCGAGCTCCACGAGAGCAGGGCTACAATAGACAATGCCCCAATGGAACCATCACACGCGGCCTCCAGCTATATCGGGTTCATTCGACGGTCCGCGAGGCCACTCTCTCGCTTGGAATGATCTGCAACACGCCAGACACGGATGCCCGGGGGCGCCGGTGAGTGCATATAGGCGAGGGGGATTGCGATGTTGACAGTCTCGTGACAGCCATGCAGCACGGTGTCAGGTGTCAGCTCCGCTGTTTAATAGCTGGTCGTCTGGTGTTATATGACGACCAGACTCAACTCTGGCGGGAGACAAAGATGGCGAGCCAAGAGCGTGGCAACAGGGAGCAACCTTCGACTTCACATGGAGTGAGTATGTGATGATTCCATCGATCGGATGTGCTACATGTAAAGTGGCAGTTTCACACGCAGGAGCAGGACTGCTTGCCAACAAGTTGTTGTTGTTGTTTGTCTTCACATTAAACCGTATGTCAGTTGCTAAATGCCAAAATCTAGCAAAAGACTCTCAGCCCGTGGTCACGAAAGTGCTAGAGCCATCTGAGCATCTAAAGAACACGCACACATCTGACGAGAAAAAGGTATGCAAGAGCCCGAAGAGGTACACCTAAAAATCCCTGCAGCACCGTATGCGTGCCCAAAAACTGAACTGCACGTCCGTCCCACCGTTCGACTACAGTAGCATCACCCCCTCCCTGTCCCACTCTATACCAAAACGGAAGATTGCCGACTACAGCATAATGCTGTCTGAAGTGCTGTCTGTACAAAAACACCATGGTAGGCATGGAACAAGCAGCTGGCGGGGCACAAAGCTGCTGTCTGAAGTGCTGTCAGAATGTGTCT